TTAGTAGGCTCCTTGTGGGTCCTGACCCCACAGATTCAGATTCAGTAGCTCTGGAGTAGGGCCTGGGGATCAGTATGTTTTAATTCTCAAGTGATTTTGCCGATTGGCCAAGTTTAGACACAACCACAAATAAGATACACATACATACACGTACGCACATATCAGGACGGTTACCAAAAAAGGAGAAAACAACATAAAGATCATTGGAAAGCATCACATGTTTTGAACTATCTACAAAGCTGCCTCACTGCGAAGCCTATCCACATTCCCCCTTTGGGTGATGCTGGAGCCTGTATTTCTGATGTTCCATTCAGTGCATTAAGCAGACCTACTTAAAAGAACGAGTTTTATTTATCAATACATTATGTAATCATGCTCGTGAATACACGATAAGCAATATGAAAATGCATGTTGGTAAAACATGTGTTTGTCTGCAGACTCTAAACTGATTTGAACTACATAACCATAAGCGCTGGTCATGCCCTTAAAGGAAATGTCAAGATATGCTAAAGTTGAAGAGAAACCAGCTGATGTTTAAGACGTGGACAAGGTGGTATCCTGCTTGTGATCAGGTTAACAATAATACGTCAACTGAATATTTTTTGGAATTTTGCATCTTCAGTTTCACTCCCAGATGATGTTAGTTAGGGGGGACTTGAAGGCAACTGGTAAAACTGTTAACAGATCTAGAACATAAAAGGAACTGCCATCACCTACTATCCAAGTGCCTAGGCTTCCTAAATAATAGAGTTGACCCTGTCATAACTGTCACATTTGTCTTCTGAGGTCACTTCTGCCACCCAGATTCCCAAGTTCTCTTTAGCCTCCGGTGAGCTAGTTCCCTGCACCAGAGGGTTTCGGGCCACGGGAGCTGTGGCATGTGACACAGATAGACCCCACAGGCTGTGGGCTATTCCCTGAACCACCGCACGTGCTCCCCCCGCTCCCGGCTTCCACATTGTCTGCTCCAGGTCCTGCTGGAATGCTCTTTCCCAGGCACCCACTTGGCAAACTCCCTACTCTTGTCATGTCTTTGCTCACACACCACCTTCCCGAGGCCTACCCTGATCGTCTAATTTAAAATTGCACCTGTGCCCCAGTCCCCGCCCAGACCTACATTTTCTTTTCTCCAGTGCACTTAACCCCTTTCAGTAATTATTTACTCGTGTTTATTGTCAGATGTCTGTCTCCTCTGCTAGATTGTCATCACTGTGAGGGCAAAGATCTTTGTTGCGTTCATCGATGTATCTTAAGTGTCTTGAATAGCATCTGACACATAGTAGGCTCTTATCAAATAATCACGTGTTAAGTGGATGCATAAGTCTATGACGCCTTGGTGGTTTATCGCTAATTCTTTATGCTGCTGCAGGCTGCTTTCAGTAGAGCCTTCCGTATTCCCACAGCTAGAGCCATCCCACAGCCGAGGTCCCGAGTCCCAGCTCGCTGGCAGGAGCCACTCCACGGGTAGAGTTGGAAGCCTCTACTGCTTGGTGTCTTGTCCGCACAAGATGTGGGGTTTCCCCTACATTTTGGCCTTAGTCCTGCTCTATACTTTAACATCCCTTGTAGACATCAGCCTGTTGGGGTTGCGCTGAGACCAGCGCTCAGCAGTCACTCGGTAAATGATATGCTTATGGGAGTGGCCCACTATGTTCTGATTTTTAGCATAAGAGCGCCTTAGAAATGGTCTAGTCCAGCTCATGTTATACTTCAAGAAACTGGAGAACCAAGAGATTAATTTTGCAAATTCACAGAACTAGCTGGAAGCAGTTCTGGGACTGGAGTCCTGGTCTGGCATTGTTTGCTGGTTTTTAAGGACACCATTTTGCTACAGCAGGGAGGAAGGTTTCCCCAGGCCCTCCTCTGTTCCGTCTACACAAGGCTTTGCTTCGTTCCCTTTGCCTTCGTTCCATGACTCCGGGTCAGTCTGTTCTGCCCGTCTGTCCTCAGGAGCTCCTCGCCTCCATCAGCATCTCTTGCTTCTGACACTCGGGAGAGGCAGTGGGGAGGGGAGAGAAGCGCCGCCCGGCTTTGATCGAGTCCTCGGGGACTTCTGGGCTATCTCGTGAGCTTTACAGCATCCCCATGTGGTAAGTGGGAGCAGACACTCTTACTCCTTCCTTTACTGACAAGGAAGTGAAATACAGGTGAATAGAGTAAATGGTTTGCTCAGTCTCACAGTCTCCGTGGCGGGGCTGGAAGCTGAGCCTCCAAATCCTAGTTTAGAATCTTTTCTTCTGTGTCATATTTTAATGTTAACAGAAAGAGACAAAAATTTCTCACCGTCTGCTCTTCTGAAATGTACATAATACCTTTTTTTTTTTTTCCTGAAGACCTTATTCAGTCTTTGAAAGTCTTCTGAGGATATCAGTCTGGATTTCTCTAGCATTTTTAGCGTGTTGGTCTTAGAAAAACCACTGACAATTCGAATAGCGATATAATGGACAGGCTCCCTGATAACTAACTAAATTGTCATCTTCATTTGACAGTCATTAAATGCTGTTACATATGGACCTATGTTCGTGGTGTTCTGGTTGCCCTTTTGAGATTCTCTTGGTAACATTCAGATTCTTGATTCAAACAGTGTATCATACAACTGTTAATGATTTGATATTTTTACAAGTTTTGAAAACCCACATATATGTGGTTTTTATTTAGGAGTGTAAGAAATATTTCTTTACATGTAAAACATGATATATTACTGTATTTAAACTAAAAAATATTCTCTAAAATATGTCTTGCTTAACTCCTACAAGAAAGTGATGTCTTATCACTGTCCTTGTCAAGTCTTGTAAACAGATTGAAATTAATTTTTTAACCTAATTAAATTCAACCAATACAGTGACTGAATTGTATTAGTGTTTATGTTACCTCACTGCCAAACAAAGTGTTTTCAAACACGCCGTGGCGTATATACTCTCATAAGAAAAATGAAGTGTATTATATGTTTGCAAGTCGCATAAGGAAAGGACATCATCCTGATGTGATTGGCACTGGTAGCCCCTGCCAGGCTTCCCTGCACAGCAGGTTGCATGCAGAGCACCTGATACACAGTGTCTGTAATGCGCCTTCATCTTGCGGCCTTTTGTCCTTCCCGAGGCCGCGGGCTACACAGAGTTGGTGGTGGGTAAGGGTCCTGAAGATACGAAAGGCTCTCGTGTCCTGTGTTCAGAGTCCTCAGTACGACGAGGCCAGAAGGCATAAGGCAGAGTTGAGGTACAGTAAGTTCATACAAAGTCACTGATAGAAGTTGGAGTTGTCTGAATCCATTTCCTGCAGAAATGATACCCAAGTTCTAGATTGACCGTTGATATTGTTACCCCTACACATTTTTAAGTTGTTTTTATGTTTCAGATTGCCACGTGGCATGCTGCCTGGAGCGTGCCCTCTGCTCTCCATTTGATCTAGTGCCAGAGAAAAAAGCAGGCTTCTGTCGAGAATATAGTTTGCTTTACAGGTTAGAGCGAGGGGAGAACCCCGTTTTACCAGGATGATGGGATTGTGGAAGTATTCTCGCTAATCGTAACCATCGGCCCTCACTCAGTTTCCTGAATGATAGAAAACTCTGTACGAGCCCCGCCCCGGTGAAGTCTCCACCACGTGACAGTTTTCTGGCAGACGAGCTGTGTCCAGTCACATTTGTTATTGCTTGTGTGCCATTTTGCAGTTTGCTTTGTTTATAAATTGGAGAGGCACTCTGCTTAGGGGACAGTACAAACACACACACGCATTGATTTATACTATGAAATCACAAGAAGCTTTTAAAATGGTGTTTAGAGTAAAAATGATAGCCTGATGAAAATATATGAGCAACATTTCTTACAACAAAAGTAGTAAATAAACGTGCAGAGTAACACCATGTAGTTTTACACGGGGAGTAAGCATCCTAAAGAGAATCATCTTTAGGTACCAAAATGATGTAGGGCCTTTCTTCTTTCTTCCCTTCATATCATTTGTTATCTTTATTAGTCGAGCCTTGTCCTAATGTCATAACTCACAGTCACCTTGTGTTATTCTGTCTGGCTCCATAACAAAAATACCATAGACCGTGTGGCTTAAACAACAGGAATTCGTTTCTCACAGTTCTGGAGGCTGGAAGTCCGAGATCAAGCCTCTGGCAGATTCCAGGTCTGATGAGGGCCCGCTTCCCTAGTTCATAGCCTCATCTTTATGTTGTGTCCTCACACAGCGGTAGGGGCGAGGGAGTGCTCTCCTATCTCCTTTATGTACAAAAGGGCACCGGTCCCATTCATGACCTAATCACCTCCCAGAGGCCCGACCTGGGGTACAATCCCAGTGGGCCTTAGGTTTCAGCGTCTGACAGGGAGGAAGGACACTATGACACACCTGTTCTGTTTAGGAAGGAAAAGAAGAGACAATGTCAAGTAAAGCTAATGATTGAAAGGTTTAATCCATGCCAGGCTGAAAAGAACCATGACTGTCTTTCAACTGGCCAATCTAGAACAGTTTTGTAAAGGGATAGAGTGTAGTTCTATTTGATAGTTTCCCTCCTAATGATCTCTCCTATCTTTTTTCATATTCAGGAACTGTTCGCACATGACCAGTGTGTGTATTTATGGAACAGAGTAAAAATGCTGACAATTACAAATTGTTTTTTCAGTAGAGCTATTACTTCATCAACTGGTACTTTGAGTAAGCATCTCTTAAAATGAAAAAAATTTAAATTAATCCACCTAACAAGACTTATTCTGAGATTCTGAGAATAATTTTCCCAAATATATCTGGAAAAGTAAATTGATTTTCAAAGATGTATAATGGATGAATTAACCTCATTTTCAAAAAACCCATTTACGATCCACTATGAGAGCAGCTTCTAAATGCCCTCAGGTAGGCGTCAAGCCAAGTGGAGCAAATAATATCTCACGCAACTGAAGAGAATATTCGTAGTAGAATAGAAGGACAAAAGAGAAAAATGCGTTTTAGCCATTGAACTTTGTGCTAACTTCTACAATTCGTGTGTGTTGTTTACTCTCTTGTAGGTATGAGAAAGTGCCAGTCATCTTGGTTGGGAACAAAGTGGACCTGGAAAGTGAGAGAGAAGTGTCCTCCAATGAAGGCAGAGCCCTTGCGGAAGAGTGGGGCTGCCCCTTTATGGAGACTTCCGCTAAGAGCAAAACAATGGTGGACGAACTCTTTGCGGAAATCGTGAGGCAGATGAACTATGCCGCGCAGCCCGACAAAGATGACCCGTGCTGTTCTGCATGTAACATACAATAGCATTCAAGTACGGCTGTCCTGGACAGGACCCGCCCACTACCGTAGGCGACACACACCTCGTCCGCCCGACTGCGGATCTTGCAGGCTGTGTGGTGTGAATCTACAGTGAAGTAGCAGCCCTTATTCAGCATTGAGCAGTGATTATCAGTTGCTATCTCTGAGTAACATTTGGGTTCAGTAACTCCAGTTTCCACCACGGGCCTCGGTCTTCTGTGTGCACCTGCAACTTGAAGGCATAGCCAATCGATCTACAGGGTGATCTCCTCCAAAAGCTATGATGGCCTTGTCACTGGGTTGACAGAAGCACCTACTGTATAAATTAAAAATAACCATGAGAGAGAATCCAGAAGAATCCCTATGACCACTTACAGTTAAAGTATTTTGTCTTCTTTAAAAAATAAGTAAAGGAGAAATATTTTCCTAGGAGAGTACTGAATTTCAGGACTTGAGATAGTGCTTCTAACCAATGTATCCCATCAAGTAAGATAATAACAACTGACCTGCCGACAGCATTACAGGGAGCGAATCTTTCCTCAGCTGACGTATTCCTGTTTCTCAAAATTGATGCTTAATTGTAGATGTTATCCCAGTCTGTGACGCGGAACTAACTCGTGCATCAGACCTTGATAGAGCAGAAGTCAGAACAGGTTGTGGTAGGAATACAGTCTGGCTTTAGAATGTGTTAAAATCACCTGCTTTGCCACAGAAGATGGAGGCTCTCACAAGGGTTTGATCCACATTAAAACCCCAAGCCCACCCTCTGTTAACAAAGCAGGGATGGTCTTAATTACTTTACTGAACAAGAAGGAAGCAACTGTAATGGGAAGATTGCCTAGCCTTACTCACAAGACGCGTTCTGGTAGATTAACTAGTACCATCGTGTAAGGAAAATGAAGCCATGCTGCATCCACATGTTCCCATTTGCAGAAACCTCACAGGACAGTACAGATATCTTGCATTTTTATGTTCGTTAAAGCAGCAAATTCCTTCTTGCCTTTAAGGGCTATGGTTGTGGTGTGATTCTTGGCTAACCTGCTTTTGAAATCAAGTTTGCTATAGCAGAGCTTAGTTGCAGGCATCTAAAAATTGAATAACCATGTGAAATAATTTGGGCTTAAAAGTAGAACATAAATTATAGAGTGAAAGGCAAGGGACAAAAAAAAAAAACAAACCCACAAAACCTTTTATCTTTAATTTTCCTGGGAAATTATATAAAGATTTTCTTATAACAATTTTGCCCTGATTACTGAAGTGGCAAAGCTAGAGTGAATATTTTGTTTTGAAAAGGTGCTCAAGCTCTGACATTTTTGGTTTTCATAGCCGTGAAGTATTTATCATTTGCATGACTAATGGCACAGGAAAAAACCTATTCATAAGTTTTTACAATCAAGCGTAGAAGGGTTTTCAACGAACTTCAGAGTTATAAATGCTGAAGAGAGTATCTTGAGCTAATCCTCTGGAGATAAATCTGGCCTTCAGAACTGCACTATCACTGAGCCTGCGATTTGCATACTTGCCTCACACTTTGTTGGCTTCACACACTTGTGCAAGTAACCTCTGGTCTTACGTGTGTACCTGAGAGAAGAGTGTGTGTTTGTGTGTGCATGTGTGTTTATTGTTCCTAAGAATTTGGCACAAGTCAGAGATAATTGCCTATACTGAGAATCCGTACTGCAGAATATCGTGTATCAAAAAGCATTTTTTTTCTTTTAAGTTATTTGCGTGGGCTTTTTTTACACATTATGGAAATCATTGCTGGCCCCCAAATGTTTAGTAAACTGGCATTATTGAGCTTAGAGGTTAGCAAAAAGGTGGCTAGTACTTTTCACAGATGAGAAAACAGATATGTGGGTACAGGTCGTGATTGTGAAAAATCTTTGAATTGTGAATATTTGCATTCTTCAACATATTTTTTTCTTACAAACCCCAATTGGGAAGCACCTTGTTTACAGGACAGAAAGTTCTAACCCGTTTTCTTGAAACCAGTTTCGGTATGTCACAGTTGATTCAACTGAAAACATTTAGAGAAATCAGAGATTCAAGAAGTATGATTTGTCTACAGAAATAGAAATATTTGCTATTTGCTAGCGAATCGGCTGAAATTTGAAGCCTCTAACTTCTCAGAATGATTGTTTTTGTTTTTAGAATTCCATATTTAACAGCAATTTCTGACAACTAAGATTACATATTAAAAACATCTGTAAAGACTCCAAGTTTTACATTATGGATTGCTATGCAGACCAGAAAAAGAAGTTAAATAATAGGAAAGGTATGGCAAAAACGTAAGGTGGAAAAGATTATTATCTACCCATTCGGATTTTCGTTGGGAAGTGTTTGTGTCAGACAAGAAGGCGGGCTTTTACTGTACAGACGTTGCCGAGAACCGATCTGGCTGCCTGATCAGTGTTCCCACATCTCCCTCCGTGATTAGTGACGAAGCATCAGAGATCCCCAGAAACATGGGCACCCTCTTATGCCCGTCCTGTTGGTGTTTCATCTGGTAGGAATGTAACTGGGTTTGAATGAATGGGTTTGTGGAGATGTTACTAACAAGCTGAAGAACAGGATGAAATGACACGACGTCACAGTGGCTACAAGAGAAAAGTCGGCGACCTTGCGTCGCTGTTGGTTTTATGCCCTGATCAGACTAGCAACTAGTTAAGTGAAAGTTTTTCTAACATGCCTTAAAAAATGTTATGGTTTGATCCAAAGACCCACTTTTTCTTTAGCTGTTTGTGATAAGCTTTTCTTTTGTTTTCATTTTGCCTCATTTTACTTTCAACAAAGGCGGTGTTTTTTTAGAAGTTTGGTTTTTTTTCTTTTTTGTTGCAGCTTTTTTTGGGGGGAGGGCAGGGTTGTTTTTTAAGCTGTGATAGTGATGGTAACTGATGCCTTTCGTTTTGTTCAATTTACACCAAACAAGCCAGCATCTGATCAAAAGCATTACATAAAATCTTCCTTAAACTATTGAAAGGTGCTTCTGACGATTTTCTCCTTTGGTTTGTAAGAATTAGAACTGAACTTTTGACTAAGCGCTTAGAGTTGCCATCACTTCTGTGGTAAAACTACTGATACTTGCTTTTTCTTTATAAGGAAATGTTGCCTAAGGATGTCTGCTGTTTGTTTTCAGGAGTTTTCCAGGGGGAATGTTGTCTGCGTATGTCTGAATGTGAAAAGTGCGTATTTTGTTTGTTGCCATTGGTTTTTTGGTTGGTTTGTTTTGTTTTTTAGTCGTTGTTCTTCTCACTAGTCTTGTGTTCACACTGGTAAGCTTTACTTGTCTCCTTTGCCAATCAAATGTTAAAGACTATGGGGGTCTTTTTATTTTATTTCTTTTTTTAATTAACGTGTCATTGTGCATCTATTAAATCTTGATCAGGGTTTCAAGAATGACTGCAGTGGGTTTTGGAAACAGACTTATCATTATTGATTTGGGGTTTCCCAGAGATATAGTTCACAGTTAATTGTTGAGCTCTAATACAACTGACCATTTAAAATTGAACAACAGTTTATTGTTTTGTAACAATGTCGGTTGTTAAACCTTGACATTTCGATTAAAACATGAATTGTAGTTATAACTCAATGCAAATTCAACAGTTGTATTTGGAGTTAAATTATTTTAACAAATAAATTTATTTAATGAAACTTCCTCTGGATTTGTTTGGTTCGGTGTGGTTTTGTACATGTTCGTGAGGGAAATGTGTTCAAAATGTAGGAAAACAACTAAAAATTGCCATAGAACAAGTTTAATACACTTGATACAGAAATATTCAAGCTGAATTAAATCGAGAATGCATCAGATAAAAAGGGAGGTTAATCGACCATGTTCATACCCCTTAAAAATAACACAAGAGAGACTTTAAAATCAGTAATTATAAATATAACCATCTCTCTGTAAATAGTATTTTATATTTTTTTATGATAGCTAATTTGAAGTCTCAGTGCTAATGTGAACAGAATTGTTCTAGATAATTAACATTAATTAGCGGTTGCTCTGTGGTCCTGCTCGTATCACTAAAATGTATCAGTGTCCTTCTAGTGATGGGTTGGGGCTGTCTTTTTGTTGAGGTCTGGTGGATTTTAAGGTGCCAGAAGCTGGAGGTTGCTGATCTGCAGGGCTGCAGGGCCTGCCTGTTCTATATGGGGCCCTGTGAATGTTGACAGATGCTGTTAATTATGTACAGCCTTCAGCTGCTCTGATAAGGAGCCCATTCATTCCCTAAGCCAATTTAAACTATGCCTTTTGGTTATGTTGCCTTCAAACTCTGTTGAAATTCGCTGGCAACATTCCACCGGTTTAGAGGCTTCATTGTTTTAGAATATAAGAATAATTTGAATGAATATAACAGAGGCACTGTAGATAGAATCTCAGATATTTAAAGGAAAATGTGCCTAAACTTCAGTGTAATAAATATCTGCTGGTTAGCTTCATAATCTCATTTGAAGCATTTGTGAAGTATTTAAACCTATTGAATCCTAATTTCAATTGGGAGAATTTCTTTATGGCTGAAAAGCAGTATTTTGAGCAAGTACTTGGGAGAAAGTGGCCTTTTATTGATTGTTAGAGGTCCGTGAATGGAAATATAGGTAGCTGGAGGAATAAAGCGCCACCCAGTTTGGAACCCATCTGATCCCGCAGGACCTGTGAAGCAGAGAAAATGGTCACAAACTTCCTAAAAAAGCTGCTAACTTATTTCCTAATTTTCAAAATATAGGTTACATGTAAATACTAATAAAACAGGGGCTCCTGGGTGGCTCAGTCAGTTAAGCATCCGACTCTTGATTTCAGCTCAGGTCATGATCTCAGGGTCGGGAGATCAAGCCCCATGTCAGACTCCGTTCTGAGTGTGCAGCCTGCTTACGATTCTCTCTCCCTCTCTCTCTCTACCCTTCCCTCCACGCCCCTCCCCCCGTGTGTGCCACACGTGCTCTATCTCAAAAAAAAAACTAATAAAACATAGGGACACTTCATTTGTTAGATAAACTAGTTTCACATTGTTTAATCTTAACTTTTTTCCTGGTTTTGGTGTTTGTTTGTTTTTCCTTTGCAGTATTAGGTTTTTGAAAGATTTGCTGCTCTTCCAGGTCAGGTGATGTGTTATTTCTTTTGATATTTTCTTAGAATAGTCGTCTTCATGTTACCGTCTACAGATTCCTCCAAGACTTACTAGTAAAGAAAAAGCACGTAGAAGACTATGTGCTTGAAAGATTAAATACAAAGATCTATTTAGTACACACGAATTAGGAAGAAAGAAAACTGAAGGAATGATTATTTGGTTTGGTTTATGGGAATTTTTTTTTTTTACAAAATCTTTCCATTTCAAAGACTCGAGTATG